AACAATCAGAAGTTACAGGATTTTTGAAGCCAAAATTCCCTTTCCACTTAGCCGCGTTCAATGTCCGCAAACCATCAGATTGGTCAACAAGTTGCCTTGGCCAGAACCTTTGAAAATTTCCATTTAGATGTATGCTATGTTTCCGAAACAAGCATACAAGATCCTACTTCAGTCACCTCCCTGCGTTCTCCTAACCCAACCTCGACCTCACGCTTCAGCCTCTGTGTGTCAGGCGATTTGATATCCGATGTTCGCGGTGCTGCTGGTGTTGGGATTGCGCTAGCTGCCAAGGCTGAGCGCTCGCTTATTGACTGGATTCCAGTCAGTAGTCGACTGCGCGCTGTACGTCTCAACGGTTCAGCACGGGCCAACAGCTACAGAACGAAGCGTCGGTGCTTATTCGTCGCATCGGTGTATGCACCGATCGATTGCAGTTCACATGAAATGAAGGATGAATTCTACAAGGATCTTTCTTAATTACTTCTATCATCGTAGTAGTCGCCGGAGACTTCAGTGTTCAAGTGGTATTCGTGGACGAATTAGAAAGGCTTCTTGGCAGACCGCATGCAATCCCAGCCAACCGGACGCACAACGGAGATCGTCCACTTCAACTCCGCGCGGACCACGGATTGTTCTTGTAAAGCACGAACTTCTCGCACAAGAAACGACATCACCTTACATGGAAACCGCCAATATCTTCACTGCGCTGGACCCAGATCGACCACGGCGCTATCAGCCGCCGCTGACGAGGATCCATTGAAGACTACCGCTCCTACTGGTCAACAACCGTGGACACGGATCATGCTCTGCTACGAGCGAGATTCTCTCTACGCCTAGTAAACAAACGAAGAAAAGCCCCCAAATACGTATGCCCAAGATTCAACGTCAGCAATGGTTGCAACTCGGCCTTCAAAGCGGAACTATCAGCTCGTCTGTCATCGCACCCATCAGCCGGAGGACTCAGTGAGCGCTAGGCGGCAATCAAGGAAGCGATTCGAATGTCAATCGAAACAAGAGCAAATTCTGACTCACGATCTAATAAAAAACAATGGTTCTCCCCGTCTTCGCTTGCCCTGCTGAACGCTCGCAAAGCCATTTCTTTGGATTCAAACTACGACGAAGTGCGCAAATCCATTGAACGCCAGCTCATCAGGAGTCTGAAAAATGACCGCCAGAAGTGGTGGGTAGGGAAGTGCAGAGGAATGGAGAAGGCTGTGGCTATTGGTAGTAGTCGCAATCTTTTCCGATTAATTAGGAGTACAGGTCTAAGGAAAGCAGGCGTAAGTGAGGTAATTGAGGAGTCCGACGGCACACTGATCCATATTCAGCAACACCGTCTAGATCGATGGGCAGAACATATTAAGGCTCAGTTCACCTGGCCGTCGTCAGCACAAGACCTCTCTACACCCGATTCAACTGTGCAAATACTGCCATATGATATCAGTCCTCCATCTGAAATAAAGGTTACCGAATAAATAAGCTATCTCAAAAGATATAGGGCTTCCGGCCCAGACGGGCGGTCCCCATCGGTTTCTAAGGATAGAGGTCTGGCCTTGGTTTTGGAGTTAACATGACTCCTGGGTTCAGTGTGCGAGAGTGAAGAGATTCCAACTGAATGGTGTGAATCGGTGATCATACCGATTTACAAGAAGGACGACTGGTCCTCTTGTGAAAACCACAGAGGAATTAGTTTAATTAACATTGCCTCTAAAATTCTCGCCGGCATGATACTCCATCGATTGTCTGCCGCTCGTGAAGAGTGCACACGTGAGAACCAGGCTGGTTTTAGACCTGGTCGAGGTTGTATTGACCACATCTTTATTCTTCATCAAATCCTAGAATACAGATAATCTTTTCGTAGACCTACCATTTCCATCTTCCACGACCTGAAAGCGGCTTTCGACTCAGTCGACCGCTCTAAACTCTGGCGCTGCCTTTCCCTGAAGGGTGTGCCCGAGAAGTTAATTTCAATATTACAATCCCTCTATAATAATAGCCGAAACCGAGTGCGAGCTTACGGCACTTTTTCACCCGAGTTCACCTCGGAAAGTGGTGTTCGACAGGGTTGCCCTCTCTCTCTCTCTCCATTTCTATTTAACTTTGTTATAGATTTAGTTCTTGAAACAGCCCTATCTTCGTGCGAGGATAGTGGCATCGATTTACTATCAGGTGGCAGACTGTCTGATCTAGAGTATGTAGACGACATTGTGCTACTAAGTGAGGATTCAGATAAGTTGCAAGCTTCTGTGGATAGTTTGAGTGCTAGTGTAGTGATGTTCGGCATGCGTTTTGCACCTTCAAAGTGTAAAATGCTGCTCCAAGATTGGGTTGACCCAATCCCCAGCCTCACCCTGACCGGAGAAGTAGTAGAGAAAATGGACAAGTTTTTCTACCTGGGCAGCTATATCTCACCTGACGGACGCATCAGAGATGAAGTGTCTGCTCGCATACAGAAAGCCCGGTTGGCAAAACGGCACGAATCGAATGGGGACCGCACTCCTAGGAGCCATTGGCGACTATGCACTGACACATTAGTGCCTTGTAGTCCACACTTGGTTGTACAGATGGTAGGGATACACGCTAGAAAACTATTTGAGTTACATTCGAGGAAATTGTTTCGAAATACCATGATTATCGTGTTGTCTCCACCGTGCCTTAGGTATTCTACGAACCCCGGTAGGTGCTGCCGACGATGAAGGAAAGTATAAACCTAGCTAATCACTTTACTCAAAGAATCCGATTGGGTTGACCCCCGGATAGCGTACAACACTGGTTGGCCGAAAACAAACAACCAGTGTGTTCAAGGACCTTGCAAGCAACCGCCAGGTATGATTAGATGTGATCAAAGGTTGGTTCATCCGCTTTGATGGACCAGCCTTATGAGAAGTGAGCGCACTACTAAGTGGACAAACGATTCTCGGTGATACATCTGCAGGTTTAAGCATTCTAACTGATAATCTCGACTGGTATCACCCCTTCCTTCTGTCGGTCAGACCTCCAGTGTGATTGAAGTTGAAGTACTCTGCTAGCGAAAACAAACACGTTTGTGACGTTGCGGTATTTTTGTAAGCAGTCATGTCAATGATTGTATCATTAATTCATGTATAAGAAGTAGAAAATTTATAAAGTTATAACGATGTACCAGCTCTATTTTTTTTTGTTCTAAAGGAGTGTTGTGAGTCTATTCGTTTGTGACCTTTCATTAAAATATGTGCAGTCTCTAGGACTTTGTTCTCAGTTCTCAACCGGTGTAAGTTCAAGGGCGACGAGCTATGTGCATCGCCCTTCCTTTTGTGCTTTGTTTAGGTTTCACTCCTGTAGATTATTTTTGAATTCTCGCGGTTTGATCACATCCGTTTTTACTAGACTACTTTCTAGTGGGTCACAAAGGGCAGGTTTGTGTTGTTTCGTCAGGTCTGAAGCCAGCTACTTAGGCGTACAGTTAAGTTGATTTGGGGGCTTGTGTCAGTCTTACTAAGCTCCCGAGTTTGGACATGGATCCAGGTTTATCGGTTTGGAAAATATCACTCGTTTATTTTTGACTGTTGGAAGTGGATGAGCATCCTCCCCTGCACTATGACAGAGAGAGAGGGGGAGGGTTTGGATTTTTTTGCGCGGCTTCACATGAGCACATCTAAGATTCAAACGCTATATGTAATTGCACTTGTTTTTGTCCATATTATTTTGTATCATAATAGAGCTACAAGATTGGTAATTTTTTTACTTTCTGACGTCTGTTGGATACGGGTGGGGAGTTCGGCTGTCCTCTCTTCGATCGTTTTATCTTTTTATGGGGGACATTTGTAATCGCTGACTAATGATTACAATATACACTGTTCTCTCATTCTGTTATCAGATAAGGAATCTGACCGGTGTCTTCACACCCGTGAACATCAATGCACCGTTGACTGGGGCAAAATGTAATGTTGCCCGTTTAGACTGGCTGAAACACGTGCTGGATCAAGGCAAACTAATTCCTTGGAAACCGGATGATATGTTGGCCATGACGAAATCTACGGCCGAGGCTGTGAGCAGTCAGTTCGATTTATTTGGGGACAGTTTTTGTGAACCCATTAGTTCGGACGAATTGAAGTCACTTTGTGATCGCATGCCATCCAAGGACTCGGGCGAGAGTCGTGCATCTCCTTTCCATTCGGTATGTATTTGCAGACTCACTGTGCCTAACCATCACTTTTTCCAGGCGTACCAGTGGAAATTGACTACCAATTTATTGGAAGAATTTGAATCGCGCAACGTTCCCATCATCGGACCGTTAATTTCGCGCTGCATTCTTGCTCTGTCGGTGGATCAGTCGTCCAGTTCCAAATCGCGTATGTTATCGGACAGGTTACTACTGACGGAGCTGCGTTATTTGGGTGCCATTGTCCTCCAATGTGATGAGGTTTTCACCCAAGAATCTTTGCCAGAAGTTGTCCAGTTTGTTATCGGTCAATTGGGTAGCAGAAAGCAGGTGTCGGATAGCATCATCGAACCGTTATTGTCACATATTCTTCTGGTAGGTCCTGGATTGGTTTTATGGTTTTATGCTGTTTCTAAAATAACTCGGGTTCATTAGTTTCCGTGGTTTTTTGTTCATATGTTACCCCGCAATACTACTACTACTACTACTACTACTACTACTACTACTACTACTACTCCACTGTCAACTAAAACCTTCACTTCTGGCCATAAATGAGACAACCGCCTTGTGGAAACTACTTAGGGGATACCAGCAGTGTGATATTTTCCTGTCCGACAAACGATTTCCTCAACTCTCACAAAACACAACCCTGTCAGTGTTTCTGTCCTCGCGTGCGAAATTGGACTGTGACAATGAGTTCACTCACTAGTGCCATCAATCTTCACTTCAAATGTTTCAAAATCTGTATTTACACATTTTTACGCTCTTGGGTGTCACTTTTCCGCACTTGTTCTCCTGTTAAATCTGTATCCAACAATGGGTTGGTCTACAGCATTCTGGCCTTTGTTCTGTTAGACTTCCTTATCGGCGTATTATGTGTAGCCATAGTAACTTGCTTCCCTAGCGTCCAAGCTATCAACTGCTTCCAATCGAGAGAAACATGAGTTTCACGTATTTGTCGCACAGATTCCTTTTACATTTAATGTACGTTGAAGTTTAGACAGCTTTTTCCAACAATTAAATACCACTAAGAATCTCTGGGATTTGCGTTCTACTTAACGCAAGTGAGGATGAGCTGATCGACATCCAAACATGAAATCCCCCTCTGCAATCAGGGATAGTTCGTTCAAGTTTTATCTTTGCCATGGCCTCGGGTAAAGAATCCCAGTAAGTTACCCCCGGGGGATGGATGCATCAATTGCCCAGCTGAGATGAGCATCAGGTAAACAAACATAGCATACTCTATGTACATAGCTTGATGCGATCGAAACCAGATTGACGAACACTCTTATGTAACTGTTATGGCCAGTTGATGAATTTAAGAAAACAACTTTCACTAACCGGACTTTGTCTTCATTAAAGATGCATAAGCTTGAGGTGAATTGTTAGGGCATAGTTGCGATACATACGTTGCCTGCGTAATTAGTTGAATAATATGGAAGAACGCAACCTTATATCACAAATTGTACAATAAATAATATCGCTTTAAGTGATCAATCACACCCCCGACAGAAAACTTGTACTCCTTTAAACACTGAATAATCAGCCCGGGGCTCTTGACTTAAGCCGCCAAATTATTTGCCAGAAAATAATCTGGTCTCGGTGTTAAGTGATTATTCCATGGTTTTCTCCAATTCTGTAAAGTAGGACTAACTACGTCATTCCGGTCATTCCGCCCCGATTCAGCTCGAACTATTTTCCTGTTATCATGAATCACTAAATTCCCGATTATTTGTAGCTTTTAATGCACAGAAGAATTTCGCTTCTCCCCCGCCATCTTTTGATTCTACTGTATCGTGTGATAGGAGTGTGATAGGGAGTTTTTGATGTGCGTGTATTACACTGAGAATTGAAGAATTTTCTAAGTCCCAGGTACAGTTATCATCTGTGCAATGCTTATTGGAGTATGGAACAAGTGAGATGTGAGCTCCAAATAAACGAGTCAACCTTCATAGCGCTGTTTGATAGACGCACAATGTGCATCTCTTCAAATAGACTTTTTGAGCAAAAATATCAATAAATTAGTGAACTATGAAGAAGAACCAAAACGTTTATAGGAGGTCTATCGATGAAGTTTGGAGAGAACCGTTGGCTTCATACATTAGTGCTATGGCTCGGCCCGGTTATTATTTCACTTTCATTT